AAATGTCTATTTCTGCCCCTTTATGCCTTTCTATCCCACTGAGAGTGGGAATTTCTCTCCACTTTTCCATATTCCTACTGATCTTCATTGCTTCTTTCCTTCTTTGTTGGGGGTAGAAATTGGGAGTCTAGTAGAGAATATTTCTGATAAACACACCTCTCTGACATATGGCACTTGTATATGTACTGCTGATACATCACTGGTTTTCTATCAGTGCTTTCTACAGAGGAAACAAAATGTCATAATCTTCCTAACATAAGTTACCATGTGTCTTTAGAAATACCTTGTAAGGTTTATAGTCTATGTTTTTTTCCCCATTGTCTTGTCTTCATTTATTTGGAACATAATAGGTACTCAATAAATACTTGCTAAAATAATAAATGTATTGCTAGGGGTCAAAGTAGGACTTGGGAACTTAGGGAATGGTGAGGGAAGGGGCAGCAGTTGTGGGGTAGATGAAGGGAGGCAGCACAAAGAATTTTAATCTCAAGAGCCTAATATTTATACTGGTAGGAAGGGTGAGTATGAGTCTTTGGAATGTTAAAAGACTTGTAAGTCATCAAGGTAGAGTACTCTTGAATGTTGGCCAAGTATCCAACTACATTTTATTATCTTTTCACACTTCCATGCCCCTAGATAAAAATGTCACATATTCTCTATTCTCCTTAAACATCTAAGACTTTCTCCCCACTCAAGCCTCTCAGCTTATTTATTATTCTTATTTTATGAAGAAAACACACATAACAATGAGAGGACTTCATACCCTCTTTCGGTTCCCATTCTTCTTCCGTTTCTATTCCTTTCCAGGAAAATTCAGTATGAAATCTATTAGATGAGGCCAAGCAAAGCAAGCATCTGCATGAGAGATAGAATCATCAGAGCCAGAGAGTGATTAGGAAGGTGTCTCTGGAGCAAGGGAGCCTGGCACGGGAATTTGGAGTTTATGTGGGAAAGGTAGACCCCTAAAACCACACTTAGAAACCAGTCGACATCTGTACTATATGCTCTGCTTCCTCTCTTAGTATTAGAATTAACTGACCCTTCTCCTATTCAAGGGTAACCCCTCTGCTTGTACTAGATCCCATTCTTTGCCAACTGGTCAAGGGCATCCATCCATCTCTTCTTCCACACCAGCTTTTCCTACTGCTGCTCCTATCAGGATACTAACATGCTGTACTTACTAGTCTTTTGTTTAAAAATGAAATTCCTTGATCCTACATTATCTTCCAGATACTACCCCATTTTTCCTCTCCATTTAACAGCAAAATTTCTTGAAAATGATGGTTTTATTCTCCATCTTCAATTTCTCTCTTCCTCTTCTCTCTTGAGCTTATCTCAGGCATACTTTACCCTGTACCAATACTCCCAAACTGCTTTTTCATCAATGTCATCAATGACTTCTACAGCACAATATCAAATGGCCAATCCTTAGTGCTCACTATCAGGGCATTTAGCACAGCTAAACAAATTACTCATTTGGGCTAATACTTTGGTCATTTGGCTTCTGGGAAACTCTTGACTCTTTTACTATAATACCTTAGTGGCTGCTACTCCTCTCATTTCTGGTTCCTTCTCATCTCCTCAACATCTACACTTTGAAATGTCTGAATGCTCAGTCTTAAGAACTCTTCACTTGCTTATCTACATTCATCCCCGAGATTATCTCATTTGCCTCATAACTCTATGAGCTGGTGACTCACAAATGTGTACTTCTCCACTAAACTCCAGACCTATTGTATAGAACTACCTATTCACCATCTCTAGCTGGATGTCCAATGCCTGTAACAAAGCTAGTATGTCTGAATACTCACTCATTATTAACCTGACACTCCCCAAATCCCTTCTCCTATAATCTTCCTTATCTCAGTATCAACCCCATTCCTTAGTTGCTCAAGCCAAAAACCTTAGAGTCATTCTTCTTTTGATCCATCAGCAAATTACTTCAGCTTTCCTTGAAAACATATAGAGACTCTGACCACTTTTCACCATCCCTACGCCAAATCTGCTCTTATCTGGATTATTACAGTAGCCTCCCAGCTGGTTGCCTTGCTTCTGCCCTGTCCTTTATTAAGCATAGTCTATATTAATAGAGAAGCCAGAGTGGCCCTTTTCATAAGTCAGATTGTACCTCTTCCCTGGTCAAAATACCTCAGTGTCTTCTGTGTTGCCTGCAGAGAGAAATCTGAAACTCTATAGCACATGACCCTCTGCTCCCCTCTGTTTGGATTTTCTATCAATCTCCTGTTTCATCACTGGGAATTGAGTTCTTTGTTTTTCCTCAGGGGCTTTATACTTGTTTCAACCTCAGGACATTTACATTTCCTATTTTTTCTGCCTGAAAACTTCTTCTTCCAAATATATACATGGATCTTCCCTTTACTTCCTTCAGATATCTGCTCAAATGTTAACTAATCAGGAAGACCTTCCTTAACCACTGTATATAAAATAATACCTTTCCCTGTCCTCTCAACATGTCCTATTGTGCTTACTCTGCATTCTTTTTCTCCATGGAAACCCTTGCTATCTGACATCTTACATATTTACTTATATATTTATTTATTGTCTATTTTCCTGCTACAATACTGAAGACTCAACGAAGGCAGGCATTTTGTTTGGTTTGCTCACTGCTGTTTTTCTAGCACTACTGCAGTGTCTGGCAGATAGTATATATTCAATAAATATATTGAAAGGTTTCAGAAATGAATAATAGATCCCATCCTTCAAGCACCAATGCTGATTATTCTGAGAGAAAAACACACTGGCCATTATGAGTTATTAATACCTCAGTGTAATTTATGTCAAATTACCTATAATTTATAGCTAAAATTACCTGAGAGAATGAGAACAGGTTGGAATCAGGACACCTGGTCTCTAGTCCTACAACTGTCTTTAACCCACTCTGTTTCTCTAAACAAGTTCTTTAGGCCTAGATTCCCTCATCTGTAAAATGACATTGTTGGACTAGATTGGTGGTTCTTAGCTTGGGGTGTAGGGCCTCCTCACCAGCCCACAATGGGCTTCAGGGAATCTGTGCATCTCCTATTATTATATGCACAATTTTGAGGCCGTGAGCACATGTGTACATTTTTTTTCCAGATGAGAGAAAGGTCTGTGAAACTGAAATGGAGTAGACGTTCTTAAGATTTCTTTTAGTCCTAACTTCATATGACTCTAAATTTAGAAAAGGGGTGACAGGAAGCAGCCTGATACTGCTACACAGCTAGAAGGCAGTCTCAGTTTTGCTACATCCTGAGCAATGCACTCATTTCCCTCACTTTCCCGATTCTACATTCAGTTCAACCAAACAAGACCAAAACAAACAAACAAACTCTCTTAGTATGCTTGGGAATTCAGACTGTCCCTGCTGGGTATTCCAAAGTCATAATCCCAGTGCTGCTACTGTTCTAAGAGCACTTTGAGAAGTAAGAAAGAGGATGGGAACAAGATATGGACAAAAGAGCAAGATCCTGTCTCTAAGAGAGGGTTTGGAAGAGGTAATTCCTGCGTGACACTCTAGCTGAGGGACTTAGAAAACTTCTCAAATGCAGAAGATTGTCTTTTTTATTTTTCTATTTTATTTCAAAATATAAGGGACTATAAATGTTTTTGTTACATGGATAGCTTTTATAATGCTTTAATCAGGGCTGTGTGCCCATCACCTGAATGGTGTTCATTGTACCTGTTAGGTAGGTTTTTATCCCTCCCCTGCACTCCCCTTCTTGATTTTCAGCAATATTTACTTCTTTCTGTGCCCATTGTAAAATTAAGTCTTAAGGGTGAATGGAAATGGAAAGGAAAAAGCACTTCATGACTGCCCCAGAAGTGACTTGGGATCTGATTTCTTAAATGTTTAATGCCATAAATCTTGAATTAGTTATTAAAAAGTTCTCTTTAGAGCATTGGAGATTTTTTTAAGGCCAAATGGATGTGCACAGTCTAATACTACCTTGTTATTCTACTTTTCTCATTAGGATCTAGATAACATTTTGCTATTGAAATGAATTTGTCACACAACATGCATAACTGTTCTACTCTTCTCCAGCTCTCCCCCCCCAATTACCCCATTACTTCCTCTTGTTAGGGCTTGTTATTTCTCTCTTTATAAGTGTGACCTGTTTGCTCTGGAAAAGAAATTCATAACTAGGTTCTAAGATCACACAAGCAGTAACAGGAAGTTGTAGGTAAGCCTCTCCTTCCTCAAATATAATCTGGGGACAATAGCATGGAAGGTGGAAGGTTGAGCCCAGTAATCCCACCATTCTTTCATTCAGTGCCTACTGCATGCCAGCCACTATGTTAAACACTTAAAGTCAGATTAGACACAGTCTCTATTCTACATTCTGAGTCACCAAAAACAGAGCTGAATGCCATCACCCCAGGGGATTTCCACTGGAATCTACTCGTGTCCAGGGTTTTGCTCCTTTCTCCCTGGAAGTGGGTGGGTGGTGTAATGATGACAAGGAAAGTGTCTTTGACCAGTAAACAAGTTGTCTTCATTACTCCCGTGGGGGAGTGGGACTGAATGGGGCATTTTTTTCGAACCTGGCCCAAACTCGGCTGCGCCTCAAGGGTCCATTAGGCTGCAGGTCACAGCAGCTGGAGCCCAGGCGCCCAGAGCCGGTCACGCGTCTGTGCCGCCCGCTCCGGGGTACACAATGGAGTCATTGACTATTCATTTACTGGTACAACAAGGCTGCTGTTGACTTAATGACGAGAGCCTCCCAGCCACCCTCGGGATGTTTAAACGACTAAGTGACTCTTCATTGCCATTAACTCATCTCCCTTTAACCTTAGTCCGGAGTCTCCCCAACGCGGGAGGACGCTGTAGGCGTGTTGGGGGCTCAGAGAGTCCGGGTGTTGACTGAGAGTGTACAGACTGCTGGTTTTTGCAGGACTGAATTTCCGTGTGTTTCAGAGCTAGTCTGAGTCAGGCGCTGGCCCAGGGTGTGCAGGGGTGGCACTGCTGTGCCAGGGGCGGGTGAGGGCTTAACTCTAGGACGGCTGCAGGCAAGGAGGCAGCAAAAGGACAAAGGCTCTTCTCCAGCCCAGACAACTTGGTCCCTTGGGACTCAAAGCCTCTCTAACTTGCGGGCTTTCGGAATTAGAGATTGGAGTGCCGCTAGGGATTGGGGCTGCTCCGGGGCTCTGCGGAGCGGTGGGATCCCACCTGCCCATTCTTACACAGCCAGTTTGAAAACTGTTTCCAGAGCCCAGCGCTCCCGGCCTGTTCCCGCTCAGCCTTACTTAAGTCTCCTCGAGAATCGAGAATCGTAGTTCTCCAGCTTCCTCTGGGGGAAACTGCTACGTCTCTACTCCAGTTAATATTGCGGGCTGAGGAGAAAATAGCAACGGTATTGAATAGATGTTGACTTTTCCGACCCAAAGGAGCGGAAATCGGGGATTGTTTGCAGAAGCTAATCGTTTCCACAGAGAAGCAGAGAGAGCCTGGTGCACTCGGCGCCTCCAGCCTGTCCCTGGAAGCGAAGCTGCCAGAATGCTCTGGGACTCGGGCGACGCTCCCCATCTCTAGCGGTTTGGAAAGTCCTCTGGAGAATTCAGACATGTAGCCACCAAACCAAGGCGGCTCCCCAGGCTCCTTTCTCCAACCTCTGAGTCTTCGGCCTCAGGTTCGGCGCCTGCCAGATCTCAAATCCAACTTCTTTGGGCAATGTGCATGGGTTGAGAGCTCAGGGACTTGCAGGGAGAGGGGGGTCTGCTATTCAGGCGCCAGACATACACAGAGACGGCCCGCCAACTCTCTGACACTCAGGAAAAGTCCCTTTCCATGAATCTGTTCTAGGCAACGGATGCATGGAGCAGGGCGCTGACTCCCTGTAAGGGAGTACGGGCACATTTGTTGCGTGCACTAGAGGTGGGGGTGATAGGGGAAGAGATCAAGATCTTTCCTGCAAACCTCAAAGGAAAATGGCAGTAGTTGAACTAAGAGGGCCACTTTCCAGACTACCAGCTGCTCCCCAAACCCTAGCAGCGGAGAAGCTCCGTTGCTGTGGTTTCGGAGAGGTGTAAAAGGCAACACCCCTAACCAAACGTGCTTGGGCTCTTTATACGTGTAGTCACCATCCAAGGCCAGGCAAATTCCTTAGCGTTTTGCATCACTCACTCCCTGACAGAGCATCTCGGTCTCAAACCCTCCATCCCAGGAGGAGGGTGTGCGCGCAGAGGGTGAACTGCCAGCCTGGGTAGGGGCCCGGGGTGGTTAATAACGTCCAAGTCTGGCGACACCGGGAATTGTCTCACTCTCGCTCTTGAAACCCAGGGGCGGGAGCTGCGCCCGGGTGGCCGTGGTGGTCAAGAGCGGGCAGGGACCGCGGGGAAAGGAGCGCGGCGCCTTTAAAGGAAGAGGCGAGGAACCCCCGCCAGGAGGCGTGTCAGTCTCCGCAGCCGCCGCTGCTGCTCCGCGGTCACCGTCTTCGCTGCCGCCGTCACTCGCGCTCTGCGCCGGCGGCTGCGCTGCTCGGTCTGGGAGCGGGGACTTTCCGCCCGACCTCCTCGGCTGCTCCTCCCCGAGGACCACCCCACCCCCTCCCCGCCCACCTCACCCTCAGCGCCAGGTAAGCACTCCCCGGTGGTGGGCTCCACTCCCGGCTCCTTCCCGCGGTGTTTGTTTTCTCGAGGACGGCAGGGACTGCGGGTGGGCGAGGGGCATTTTCCGCCTGGAAAGAAGGAAGAAGGCGAACAGCCGCGCGGCAGAGCGGGGTGCGCTCGGGGTACCCGCTGGACTGAGTCACTGAGAGTGTCTTTGTCCCGCTTGTCTCAGCCAATTCCCGTCAAGGATGCTAGTGGTTCTGCTGGCTGCAGGCACTCGTATTCCTCACAAAAAATAATTTAATAAGTGGACGTGTCAGGAAGTGGCCTCAGCTACAGGGACTCAAGCAAGGCGAAGAGAATGAGACAGATGGCAAGAAGCTGTGTGTCTGCCTGCGGGTCTGACCAACTCCCCATCTTTCCGTCTGTCCAGCCATCCGTCCATTAACCCTGCTCCTTAGTTCTGTGCTGAGGAAGTACAGACATTTGTTTTAACAGGCGCCAGTATTAAGAGCTTTTGAGAAAACTTGGAGGGCGTCCCATTAGAGTAAGAAGGCTGTAGTGTCACCAGGGTGGATCATAAACGTCAAGAACTTTTAAAGAACCACATCCACTGATATGTTTACCTTTAAGCAGATAGAGTTTCTTTGCCAAACACTACCGAACTGAGACTCCTTAGTTAATGATTTCCAATTTAGGGAATAGGGAACATTAGAAAACTTACTACTGCTATCATTTTGGTAATGCAGATTATCTTCTATCACCTCATCTCCACACTGTAAGTATTCTGTCATCAGAAATTATCTTATGAATTAATGATTATTTTCATTTCACAAGAGATGATCGATTCATTTGAATCTTAATTAGTTTTAGTTTAGTTGCTGGAAGATATGCGATTGTATTTCAATGTCGATTTGTCTTAGTTCATTACCTTATAACTTTTTATAGAGGCTATTCCTGTAACCACCAAGGCAGTTTAACAATTTCCTCCCATTGGCCTTAGAAACTGTTGAGTTAAATGAACAAAAAAATTGAAATGCACAGGAGCAAGGTGATAGAGAAATGAATGATGCTTAGAAGTCTTGCCTGTTTTTTTTTTCCCTCTCTCCCTCTATTTAAATCCACTGAAGATTGCACAAGCTGAAATTAAAAAAAAAAAAAAAGGTTCCAGGACATGTAAATCTATTCCACTTCAATTTCTTAATTAAGATACACTTCTTTTCAGCATCTAAAAATTAATTAAAACTCTAAATGTCATTAATCATCAATGCAGCAGAATGTTGGTGGAACAGCTGATAATGTGTTTAGAATCATGAGGAATAGATAGCATAGCATTCATAGTTAGGAAGAGTGAGTTGCAAGTATGCAACAGTGTGATTTCAACTGATCTCAGTCCTGACTTCATTCTCTGAAACCTTTAATACCATGGATGAGCAGACTGTTTATTTAAGCTAAGCTGAAATACAACAGGCCACTTGTATGGAAAGATAGGTTAGGTGTTACCGTAAGCTGAGGTTTCTCAAATGTCACATAACAGCAGGACTTCTGTGACAAATCAAGTGGAATCCTTAATAAAAATTCCATGTGAAAAAATTAAATATAGATATGGCATGGAAAAAACCTTTGAAATACCTTTGAAATTCAGGTTGTTCTGGGATATATATTTGCTGTTTCTAGCAAAAGGTATATGCATTGTTTTTTAAATGTCGTGCTATAAGGATTATTACACATTTGTTCATGCCCCAGCAGGTGGCAGCTAACTAGAATAAGATTCATTTTCACTGGGAGAATGGGAAACTAAAATTGCTTCTCAAGTAATACTGCCCAAGAATAATAGGTCATTAGTGTCAGTAAATATAAAAATATGATGAAAGATGAAGCTAATGTTTTTTTGTTGTTGTTCTTGTTGTTGGAATAAGCTTTGCATGAACATAATATACATTTTGTTCTTTGTCAATTTATCATAGGCTTGATATTTCTTCATGTCAGTCTTTTATGGCATTTTGTTTTTTGAGGTTTAGTTTTAAACACAGCTTCTCTCTGTGTGTGTATGTATGTGTATGCTTGTAGTTTGTCATCTCTGCTTTGACCTTGGAACCTACAGAGCTTTGGCTCCCAGCAATAAAGGTTGCCATATGGTTACAATGAGAAAAAAAATAAAATCATAGACTAAAGTATATACATCTCACTATTACAAAATATATGTGACCACCTGACACCTGATAGTGGTATTTGCTTTTCTTTTGAGAAAGGAGAAAATTACAGAATTGACACAATTTTATAAAGAGATTTAAATCTGGTCAGTGAAATAGTGTATAATGACTTTATTAGTCCTTATGTAGACTCAAACTATTATGTATGCTATCAATATTGGGGAGAAACTTGCAATAACTTCAAAATTGCCATATAATAAGCCATATCTTATACTACCAAATCACCAAATCATTTTACTGTAGTATTGGAGAGGCAAGAAAATTTACTTCTTTTTTTTTTTTTTTTTGTCCTGGGGAGTGAGTGAAGTTTAATGAGAAAGAGGAAAATTAATCTAATTACCCTTGTAACAGATGGAAATCTGGAGGTGGAGAATTGAAAGTGATAACTAATTGTACATTTTAAAAATGTCTTTAGCCACCGAATATTGACAGCATGTTATTCATATTTGGGATTCTGAATTATGGTCTTTCAGACATTTTTTTGTACTGAGAAACAAGTAGTTTAGTACTCATGAGGAAACTCAGTTAATGTAAGTGGCTTTTAGTAGTAAGCCCTGGAAAGGAATGACTATTAGTATATCCTGAGTATGTTAAGCAACCTCAGCTAGTGGCACTGAAAAATACACACAATACAGTTGATAAAATAGTCCTCTTGACAATGTGAACAATGTAATAATTCAAATGCCCTGACTCTGGGTAGTAGAAATATGCGCATTGTCACTCCAATGGCATATTACCCATTCATCGTATTACTTTCAATGTACTACTCTAGAATAAATCGATGCCTGAAGCGCTGTCCACGGTCCTGAAGAAAGGTTGTCTTCAGTCTTGCAGAAGTTTAATAGGACAGGTGGAGTTGCTAAATGTTGTGTAAAAGCCTTTCAACTTAGTTGATGTATGTAAATGAACCTAATTTAGCATATGTGCAAAATTAGTTCTTTGGGGCCAATTAATAGTAAGGAAGAATTATGCTAGACTTTTACTGTTTAATTTATTGTGTGAGAACTTCATGAATCTGGAAGCTTGATCTTTCACTCTTCCAACTAGACATCCAATAAGTAACACCACAAAAACTAAATAGTTTAGAATGCTAGTTTTAAGTAGGTAAGTTAAAACTGTAATGTCAAATGTCATTATGTTTACAGACTACATGAACAGGGAGATATGGTACATTTTGTTTTCTCAAGTTCCATTAAATGCCAGCTACACTGCAAAATTGCTGTATTTTGATTAGTCACAACAGAACATGCTATTTTCAGGTAGTAGTTATCAATTATATTGACAAATGAAAATACTAAGAGTTACTATTGCCCTAACAGTCATTATTATCTCTGCTAGGATTAAAAAGAAAATGAGCAAATAGAATGGAATAAATGAGACAGCAAATACAAGACAGAACATGTTGGGCTGTATATATTTTATACAGGATATTTTAAACATGGACTGAAGGAGTCGCTAGATACCCTTGGTTTTACCACTAGGTGTTCCTTTTAAAGTGCTCCAGTAGTCAAATTATTTGATTGAATTGCTTGCTAGACTGCAGAACTAGACATTCATGATACTTATTTTTGACACTGCAATTATGCCTCCATCTTTTTTAAAAATGCTACTTAATGCCTTTGCAAAATGCAGATTTCTTTCAAACAAGCATTTTATAATATATTAAGAAAATATAGATTAAAAAATCACCATGATGAAATGAAAACATTATGTTGTTTTCTTGCTATCTGAAGGAAACACAGTAAGACCTAAATAGTGCTCAGATCACTTCTTAATAAAATAATTTGTCTTCAAATAGGACATGATCTTATGTTTTTTCATAAAGTTTAGCCTATGTCCTGTTAGTTGGTTATGAAAAAGAGATTAATTGTAAGATATAGGTCCAACAGTTTGCCATGTGTGCTGTTTGATCATTTAAAAATATTAACTGATATATTTACTATCCATGTTGGTTTCACTTAATATAAAATATTAGCATTTGATATTTTTAATCTATGGACAGCATATTACCTATTTTGGCAATAAAATATATTTTATGTTAAAATGTATGTCTGTAAGTTTTTCTTGAATAAATTCCTGTTTGTGAAAGCCAAGACAGTCACTAGCTGGGATCTCTAAATACTTCCACAAGAAAGCTAGAAAATGGTAAGATCTTTCTAGACAAAGCTATGACACTCATAACTCATCAAGTTATGATCCCATATTCCACCTCTTAAAGAAAAAAAAATTCAAAGAACCAAAATGAGAAGAAATTCTGGGCATAAATTTTTCAAGCCTTGGGAGTTTGCTGTACCAATTCAAACATCATTGTTTTTTGTATACACACAATTATTTTAGGTGAGCTAAAAATGGGTGGGAAAATATAATTTCTTTATTTTATTTCAATTTTCTCTCTAAAAGTCCACTTGAAGAAATTTCTCTTTACCCTTCTCTTGAGTAGGGTAATCAAGGAATACCCTACTCAAGTTTTTAAAGACTAGGTTTACCTCTCCAATTGCATTCCAATCTATATTCATTCCTGGCCTAAATTAAAATAAAAAGTATAAATAAGATTCTCTTTCAACCTAACTACAAGTCAGATTTGCAGTAAGTTCCTCTGTCTTAGATCATTTCCTTTTTTTTAACAGTTCCCAGGCAGAGTGACTTTGATTTAGCTAATCATTTATTAAAATTCATCAGTTGATTATAAGAAGCCTGCTTGCATACACCAATCATTCTCTTAGTAAAGACTCTTATTGAAAATAAAAGCAATTTTCTCACGTAAATAAATCCGACTTCTTTCTTGCAACCCAAGGCGGGCTATCAGATCAGTTGCATAATAGATATTGGGAAGCTCACTGGCAGGGAGCCTTAAGAGGAGAGCAGCTATCTCAATTTTTCTCACTTAATCTTGGCTTCACGTCAGAAGCTGTGCAGCAGTGCAGTAGAATAGGGCCTGGCAAATCCTTCGCGGGCGAAGCGCCTTTTGTGCTGGGACTGTGGCTCGCAGTCGACACCTCCTTGCTTTCCAAGGCTGGATTTCCTATTGATCTTCCTCCTCCTTTGCCTCCCCAGGCTCGCGGGGCCGGACATTGTGGGTGTGCGTGCTGGATTTCTCCCGGATGCTCTCCGACTAACATGGATGTCCCACCATCCCTTGCAGTGGAAGGTTGCTCCTTGGCGCAGTGAGTGAGGAACATGCAGCGATTGCTAATGGGTTTGGGAAGCGGAGACTCCTTCCTCCCTCTGTGACCATGCCGTGATCGTGTCTGCGGCCACCACTCGACGCATCCTCATTTCTGCCCGAACCGGGAGCCTAACGTTAGATCGGGGAAGTGGGTGCCGCGCGTGTGGGCACAGAAACACCATGAAGATTATTTCCCCGATTCTAAGTAATCCAGTCTTCAGGCGCACCATTAAACTCCTGCTCTGTTTACTGTGGATTGGATATTCTCAAGGAACCACACATGTATTAAGATTTGGTAAGATTCCCCATCCCTCTCCGTTGCCTGGTATCCGGCTCCAAGGCAGCCGGATGTAAACAGGCAAGTTCGCTCTGCCTGGCGGTGGGCTCGGAGCATTCAGACCTGCTCGCTGCTCCGTCGCCTCCCGCGGTTTTAAAGAACCCTCTGTGCTTTCATTTATTTTCCTCCTCTTCATTTTTATTTTTAGCCGCGGGAGGGTGAGGGTAGGGCTGGTGTGTGGTAGTGGTCGCTGCATTACCTCCCCACAGTAGCCTGCCACAGAGATGGTGATCGAGCTGGGGCACAACCAGCCTGTCTCCTCCGGAGCCTTTTGGGCTTGGAGGGGTGCGCGGTCCGAGCGAAAGTGCGCGCTGGGGCTACACGCCTCTCAGTTGGCTGGGCTAAGTTAATATTTGGCAACTCTTGGCAAGTTGCGCCTGTCAGCTACCGCCCCGACCAGGGCAGGTCCTCGCGCAAAAATGAAAGGCACTAAACCTTTTGATGTCATTTGTCAGAGAGCCTTTTCGGTTCGATTAATTTTACCACTTTTCCGGTTCCTGGTCTCCTACTGGGATGCGGAGATTTTAAAAAAATATATATTCCTGTAAGATTCAAGGTTCTCCTTAACACAGAGAGGCTGTTGCTCAGCCAGAACGCAGTAGCGTCACAGTAAGAATGGCTTTTTGTTTGTTTTTGTTTTTAACTTGCTGAGTCCCTCCTCTAACCGCTTTCTTTCTGGGCGTTAAAGACTAGTAACTGATGAAAGGCAGTAATTGCGTGCGGTCTGTTGGGAGGAGAGAGGGTTAGATGTGTATGGGGGTCTAAGTCTGCATCTTTATCTCACTCTGTCAAGATAAAAGACCCTAGGTAGTTACAGCTATGGGAATTTGTTGCTTTCCTAAGACTCAGCGTTTCCTTGGAGCTTCAAGGAAAATCTAAACCTGGGACTCCAGTGAACCGTGGTCAGAGGGTTTGCTTGGAAAAAACATGAACGTGGGCAACTCTCAGCTGCTCTTGATGGCTAATGGAGTTTCAGTAGGAGCAGAACTAGTCAGGGAAAGTTCCCTAAAGTAGGTAAGAGGGAGAGACGGGAAAGCCCACGGGGTAAAGGCTCACACTGTAGGCACTTTGAAAGTTCAAATCGATTCAGACCAAAGTGTGCAGGAAGCCTTATAATCCTGATTAAGTCACACAGTCAAAATGAAATTGAAGAGTGATTGCCTGCATCTCCTATCATGCCAACAGCATCTTATGTCTTTCCATTTTCCCATATATACTTTTTTCTATAATAAAATTCACCATATCTCCCAGGCTTTGTAGAATAAAAGTAGGAATGCTTTCACATATATTTAAAAAGGGAAACTCACCCCTCACACACACACCTGGAGTCAAGAAGTCTAATGACAAAAGAGACAATGGGTTATAGCTGGATTCCTACTGTAGTAGTTTTCCTGCTTTCTTCATGCCTTCAGATGGTACTTAGCATGTTGCTCTTAGCAACAAGCATCCACAGGAATGCATGTTTCTTTGGGAAGGATTAAACAGGTCACTGTTAACCACTGGACATGTGTGTGTGTGTGTGTGTGTGTGTGTGTGTGTGTAGCAGTTCTGCTTCAAGCATAGTAAGTGCTACCGTATGTAGTTTTGCCCAATATTTTGAGTATTACAACCTAGTTATGTGGAATTCTGATGTGTTTGTGAATGAGTGTGTGTTACTAAGTGTGTTTGCCGACTGAGTGGAAAAAAAGAAGACTTGAAGCCGGAAAACTCCCACCAATACTCTAAAGATTTAATTATTGTTGCTCTGGTCTTGCAGCATAATATTTGCTGAATCATTAGATTGTTACATTCGCTGATCATTTCATATCTTCATATTAAAAATCTTGGCGACTGTAGCAGAGTGTGTAGTAGCTTTCCAAAAGAGCTGACACACACAAAAATAAGCATTTTCTTAGACCAACGTTTACTAAGAATATCCTTAAGAAATAGGGTAATAGGCGAAGACCTCTACACCAGTCCTGGATATACTAAACCAACTGCCCGGTTTCTAAATAACCTGTTATTTTCTACGTTAACTTCAAACATTTTCCACGTGGAGATCCATTTTCTCTGATTTCTGACCTGAGTTGTGGGGAAGGACTGTGTACATTGTAATCATTGGAAACTTTCCCTGTTGGGACTATTTTGACACAACGGTGGGAGTTTTATTTTCTTCTGGGGTAAACATGTTCTGGGTAGATTGGATGGTTGGTTGAGCCACTCTTGAGAATGGTTATTTTCAACTTTGGCTCAAAAGTCGAACCAGCGCCTCATCCCTGGCCCTGTGCCTTGGAAGGGAAGGAATTGGAGTTGCTGGTAGATCTGGAGCCACCCGGGTGCTGGTGGGACCCGCCGCCTCTGCAGCGGAGGCAGCCACTAGTGCCCCTCCCATCCCCCACTCCAGGCGCGGCGCGGCGGCGCTTCAAGCAGCGCGGAGCCTCCGCCGCGGCGCTATGGCAACCGCGGAGCCCGGCCCGGCGGCCACCCCAGCCCCCTTCCTTGCTAGTGGAAGCTATGCGCAGTCCTTCGTCTTGCTTCCACTAGGAGTGCGACTCGACCCTGCGTCTTCCTATCCCCGTCAGTGAAGCAAGTGGCAGACCCCGCTTGGGGTGCTGACCCCTTGCAGTGTCCCTTGTCTCCCCGCGCGTCTTCTGAGTGCACGACCCTCCCGCTCCCCAAATCCCTACCCTTCTCTTTCTCACGCACACGTGCGAGCGGGCAAATGAGCGTTCATAAAGCAAGTCTCAGACTTTGTAATGCACAAGAAAACTTTGCAGTTGCACCCAGGGTGCTTCGGTCCTCTTCCTCCCTCCCCCAACTTCTGCAGCCGCTCCGCAAATATCTCCAAGAAAAGGTGTCAGGAGCGCTGACCCCAGGGTGCTGTCCTGAGGCTTTACGGCAGCCTAGGGCAGTGGGGTAGGTGACCTGAGGGTCAGCCGAGGGTCAGCTCCAGGCAGGCTGGGGGGCGAGCGCCTCACGGTAAGTCGTGGCGGTTTCCTCGCCTGAGATCCTAGGTCGTCATAACTTTGTTTTATCCCGAGTGGCCCCCCCCCGGGCATGTTTTCTGGGGGCAAAGTGCGTCTTAAAGCGTCAGTTCCTCCGCCCCAGGTCAAGTCAGCTGTTCTCCAGGCGGCTTTTCTGGGCGCGGAGCCAGCGAGACTCCCCCAGGCTGGCCTCGCCCGGGCGCTGGCTCTCGGGCTCTGCGCATCCCAGATTATCCCGGCTTGGCCCAGCGCTATGTAAATGAGGCACCTTTGTTTCTCGGCAGCTGCGTCCTGGGCCTGCTGGCCGCCGGAGTGGGCGGAGGCGGGATCCTTCCGTCCGCGGGGGTGTGGCCCCAATTCCACGGTCTCCCAACCGAACTGCCCTGCCGGCGGTACTTGAACGTTTCTTTTGTTACTTTAGCCAATCCTTCTCTCTGGGCATGCTCTGACCCCTGCTCCTGAGCCAGTGAAGCTTAGAAACTGGCTCCGACAGCGGGCACGGCTGGAGTCCCGCTCTGTCTGGGGACTTTGGTATGTTTAAGCATCTTCTTTCAGAAGGCACTCCCTAAACCACTACTTGTTTCCCACCATCAAGGTCAGGTTGTTATTTAAAGTCTTTATCTGAATTGAAATTTAGGACGCCAGGAGCAAAGGTATCAACTCAAACTTTCTCTTAAACTCGTGAGCATCTTCTCCAAGACAGTTTTTTTTCCAAGGAGCTGAGCAGATGGTAGGTCACTTCTTCCCTTGTGATATTTCGACCCAATGCCTCTCTTGAGCATGCCAGTAGAGCGGCTTTCTAAAAAGGTTTTCCCCGTCGAAGTCTTAGCTCCCAGACGCGCTCGGATCTCCTTGGCGCTGCACACTGGCCAGCCGTCCATGGCACAGCGAGCAGTCACCTCCCTGCACACACGCTAAAGGTGAATGCAGCCCGCTCAGGACGGGCCACAAGATAAAATCTACAACGTGAGTGAGAACAGAAAGGGTTCCTATGGAAATCCCCCTCTCTTGCCGAGCACCCCATGTGCTCACAGATATAATAATTAGTAGCAGATGTACTGCAACACCAGAGAGTGTGAGTGAATTGACTGAGTTTAGAAGCCACCACTCTACAAATTCTTTGAAAGAGATTTTTCTTCCTTTGGGAGGTGAGGTGGGCGGGAGGGAGGAGTGGCCTTACATCTGGAAGCAGGAAAGCTGACTCTCGGGAGGCGGGGACGGGGGAGTAATAAAGGCTACTGTCTGCAACAGATAAAACCCGAGCACCTGCTCAGCTGAGCTCTGGAAAGCAAGGGAGGGAATTCTTTCTAAGAACCATCAACACAACGGCCACACTTTAAGAGAAAAAGAATCAGTTTTTTACATAAGTTCTCCCTTATTCTTAAATCTTCAAAGAATAGCTTGATGTGATCCATCAACGGAGGCACAATCATTTCAGAAAATGACTTTGAAAAATGATCTTTTCGTCTTCTAGAAATAGCACTCTTTTTCTCCACCAGACACGTGAAACTCAACACATTTTCTGGCTTTGTGAGGTTGGCTTTCAGAAGTGAGCATGGGTTTATATGTCAGTAGACATTTCTTCAGACGAGTTTTGCTTTTTGGTTTAATGCAAGTGATCATTGCAGTGTGTTCATTCCCTGAAATCTCAACTGACACTGTTTCAACATTTACTCAGCACAGGGAAGTTAATGTGAATTGCTCTCACACAAAGGGAGGAAAATATCATAGATCAAACGGGAGTGTATTATTGATTATCAGAGTCTTCTCAAGTTTGCTCACCATTAGATAACGTGTTGTCGGTGATAATGATGACATAATCTTTTGTGCCATTTAGTTATCATAATTTTTGATAAAGAAAATGCTTTGCTCTTTTGTGGTAGGAATTTAACATTCAAATGAGAGAAATCACTTTCTCCTTCAGTTCTTAGGATTTTACTATGTTATGGTAACCTCAATGATATTTATTTGCTGGAAATTGTCAATGTCTATTTT